AGATGGATATGATGCACCGCCTCCTGCAGGTATGGTCCCAGACCCAGAGTTGCCTGAAGAAGCAGAGGCCTTGTGCCCAGACTCAGGTCGCTTAACTCGGGGCCAGAGGAATCCTTCAATAGCTACTAAACTTGCCAAAGGATCAATTAACAAGACATTTGAGGAGTAGTCGCGGAGGGTTTTCTCTCCTTGAGCTCTGCAAAGGCGCAGCTTAAAAGGCTGAGACAAAGCACTTAAACCTGAAGATAGACGGGCATTTCCTGTCGATGATCTGGAACTATGACTCAGCACAACGGGAAAACGCTCCAAGGAACATAGAGCATTTTGAAGCTTTTGGACCAGAACAGTCATGGGAACCACACTTCCACCATCAACACCAGAAGGAAGAGCAACTGCAATAAAAGACTTGTATCTTTTGATTGCTTGTTCTCGAAGCCTAGGCAAACTAGCATCAGAGATTTTTTCCTTAGAAAGATATCCACACGTAAAATAATTGAGCAAAGAAGCAACAACTCCACTTCCAATAAACTCAAAGGTTGAAACACCGTCCCCTTTGCTGAGCTCTCCCAGCATGGCAGCAATCACTTCAGCCAAGGTTTCTTCCTTACAGATAGAAATATCCCCAAGCTGAGGCCCAAATGTTTTTGACTTTCCTTTAGGTTTAGCTATTTGTTCATCGATACCAGCATTCAACTTCATGCAGAGATTCTTCAATTGTAGAAGATCATCTGTGGCACCAGCTTCAGTAGCCTCTGAATCTGAAGGGAAGTATGTATCCTTGAAAGATTTTGCACATGAACTGACTGCCATCCGAAGGTTAGAGTTGACTGTCGGAATCTCCATAGGATCTGGCGGAGATCCAATACTTGGAACTGGACTTTTAGGATCTTCAACAGAAGTTGCATCTGTATTGGAATTATTGCTACGGCGTCGATTACATTTCTCCTTCTCACCACGTGTTGGCTGGGTAGTAGCAGAACCATGAGACTCAGTCAGTATCAAGGTATCAACAGCATGAACAACACCTTCTCGGACAAACATCTTGCCAAAAACTCCAGGGAGCTTTTGCATTAAAATTTCTGCTATTTGAAGAGCAGGCACCAGTACTTGGGGATCCTTCCAAGCCAAAACCCCAGCCAAGAAACTACAAAGACATCATATTCAAGCATTACTTTCATGGAACTCGCACAGAGAAAAATATCATGCAAAGAGATATTGTCCTGTGGATAAACTAGCTTCCACGTGCTAAATGTTGAAACAAAAGAACAAGCTTTAATCTGTCCCGACATACCTTGATATGTTAGTGACATTCATTAAAGACTGAATCATATCTGCACTACTGAAATACATAAGTTTTCCAATAACTGAGAGGCACTTGTGGCGTGCTGCAGTATTCACACTGGATCCATATGTCTGGTCAGCAAAGGGCAACAGAAAGTCACATCTCTAGTGTCCACTATGGTAAGGTAGTGACATTAATGCACCCGTAGAGTTATAATACTAACCTGGATTAGAACAAGGAGGAGATCCGTTCCAAATTGTTGCAGAAGTTCAGGTTGATCATTCAATAGTTTCTCACGAGCTGATACCTCCGGAGAAGATGCATTCAGATCCTCCTGTTTTCCAGAACCACTAGCAGAAGGTTTCCTTGTAAACGAGCCCCTAATGAACAAATTAGTGCTAACTGGAAGAGAGATGGTTCCTTGAGGCAGCGGAGGAAGAAGCTCGTTTGCCAGATTCACAATCTCAAAAATCTATAATAAGAGGAAATTACACTTGGGGTCAATCCTAAGAGCAACAACCAGAATGCCCAGAAAGTAGCTAACGAAAGAGATCGAATTCAACTAGCAGTTTGAATATGTCAAGCAAATTACATGAATACACCAAACAAAAATACCAAGCTTAATAGGAAAGTTTGCAGGGCTTCCATGGACGTGTACCAACTGAGCAGAAAAAGAAATAGATAAGCTTTGAATGTTAATGAACTAACTAGATCCTCATTATTATTAATTAGAAAAACCCGTTCTGGACTCGGGCGTTTCATTCCAGACAAAGACACACTGTACGAGTACGGCCTTGTTTTTGAAACAAAAGGTTGGCCCGCTAATCCGTGTTACATGGAGTGTGGTACCATCTACCGAACATTCTTATTGTTGCTTTTCTGGATTTTTTTTCCTTTGGTAGGGGGAGGAGAAGCCCCCGGCTATTACACTATTTTTAATGCAGTGTTTGACTGAATTTAAAAACTCTAGCAATTTCTCGTTGTTTTGATAGAACATCTATCCCTTGGGGGAATGACAAAGTAAAGACACAGTAATGGATTCATTTCACAAACTAATGGTACTCAAACCCCAGTTATTGTTCACTTTCACTTTATCCGTATGACAAATACATAGAATATCTAATTGCGTCTCCTCATGCCACAAATATTAAATATTCGATATGCACTACTTGTTCCATATTTTCAATGATTCAATAAAGTTCATATTTTTCTTTCTGATACTCCTGAACAAATCACAGTGACAAACNTGGATTTGTTTCACAAGCTAATGGTATTCAAACCCCAGTTATTGTTCACTTTCACCTTATCCGCATGACAAATACATAGAATATCTAATTGTTTCTCCTCATACCACAAATATCAAATATTCAGTATGCACTACTTGTTCCATATTTTCAATGATTCAGTAAAGTTCATATTTTTCTTTCTGATACTCCTGAACAAATCCCTGTGGCCACAGTGACAAATACAGCAAGCAGTGGATTGCGAAAATTAAAGCTATCACACATACCTGCTCTGGAGGTCTGCTCAAGGCAGGTGAAATAGAGACAGTCGCCACGAGGCCAGAACCAGATAAAATGTCCTTGAGGATCCGACTGATACCAAGTATCATCAAGGTTTTAGCCCCTAATGGAGAGCCACTGGCACACGTAGAAAGAAGCCGGATCAAGCCCTGCAAACCAAATCAAGTCATAATACAGACCCGTGTAAATGATCGACACATTCAAGATCTAAACCTACTGTGTAAGTTTCCGTGCTGAGCGAAGCCTGACCACCTCCAGAATTACTGGTTGAGATGAGGGAGGCAGCTTGTGTGACAAGTCCGTGATTGCAGAGTTCATCTAGCTTCTCTGGAGATGATGCAAATGTNGCATCCGAAGGCAGCTTCTTGCACATATTAGCAGCGGTTGCTAATGCTACTCTCTATAGGAGGATGAAAATAGAATCTGAATAGTACTCAACCTACTAACGGAACTAAGAATGGCTTATGTCCATAACATCATTTACAATTTATTAGCTTTGCTACCTGAACACCAGTGGAAAAGAAGTCGAGATACGAGAGCACAGCCATGAGTGCACCTGCTCGCAAACAAGCAGTTGGGTCTTCCTGAGATATCTTCTTTAAAGCTTGTAGAGACTGTTAAAGATAAACATTAGCATAATAACTTAAAATTTTGATCATTCCAATATTAAGTAAAGCGATTTAACAATGCTTATTCTATTTGCAGAGATGTTATATAGAGAATTTCTAACCAACCCCAACTAGTTCAGGATCGATGCACAATTGTTGTAAAGAATAAAACTTTATCACCTGTTCAGCTAAGTCCATGTATTCAATAGTGAGCAACCGAGCTACAAAACATGAAACTGCTCCATAATGCACAACAGCAGCACAAGAAGATGGTAAAACATCAACCAAATGAGTTAGCGCCCTAGCTGCAAGAAGCATAATATCAGGATTACTACTTCCACCATGATTATTAAGCAACCCAACAAGCACAGGTACAAAAGAGTCCACTGAAAAAGTGCTCAAAGAGTCTTCTGTTCCAATAGAAAGCATCACACACAACTGTGTCAATGCCTCTATTTGTTTCCCTTCTTCCCCATCAGCTCTTAAACCCGATAATATCTTCTTCAGCCGCCCGTTGGACGACGAAGTGGACCCCACCATTGCTGAACTCGGCAGCAAATCATCCAATCCAGCACCTAATTTTCTCAACAGTCCTTGAAGTGCACTACTTGCTGACGTCAAATTATGATGCAAAATCCCTACATCATTTTCACTTTCATTATCATTATCGTTATCATCTTCATCATCCCTATCCCTAATTTCGTGTTCTTTTTCCTTACCCGAACCCGAACGGCGGGCTCGGGTACCCGACCCGGAGGATTCATTCGTGGAGTCCATACGAAGTGAACGATTTGTGAAACGGGAACGAGCTGAGGGGGCGCGTGAGGTGAAGCGAGCACGCTTAGTGGCACGTGTGGTGGGACCAGAGGAAGTAGAAGAAGAAGAAGGCGCTGATGACGTGGCTTCCTCCGTCAGTTTCCGGCTCCGAGTTTCCATACAAGGTCGCCGACAATCGGCGATCAGACACAGTATACCGGAATTATCGCCATCTTTTCAGAAACCCTAATTCACAAATTTGGGTGAGGTAAAAAAGGGATTTTGATTGATCTTAGCTCAATCCAAGTCGCAATTTTTGGAAAATTCAAGTGATTTTAATGTATTGCAATGAATTATCATGGAGCTCTTCGAGGAATCTATGTGTGTGTAGTGTGTAAAATATGATTTTTATTACTGACCTTTTTCTAAACACATTTGAGCTAATTATTATAATTACAATTAATTCAAAGAGGATGTTAAAGTGGGTAAGAGAAGAATTTAGTGCCCGTCTGGACATAAAATTTGATGGAAGATTTTTCCAAAAAAATTTGAGTTCATAAAATTTCTAATTTTCAATTGAATATGTATTTTAAAAATTTATAAAAATTTAAAAAAATGCAAAAAGTTATTTTTCAAAATTTTCGCTCAGATCACTCACAAAACTTAAAAAACAATCCAAACTAAAATTTATGTTCAAACACAATTCTGAATTTCAAATGTCATTTTCACTTTTCTTTTCATCATTTTTTCAAATTTTACAATTCTTATGTCCAAACGCCTACTTAATGGATTGCTGGGCATGCTTGAAGCCTGCCCTTGCCTAAGCAATAGGCTCTTTACAATCTCCCTATTCCCCTGAACCCCTTATATGTACTTATTTGTAGCTGTTTACCGACCTCGATCGAATGACGACGGGCTACTATTTCGATAAATTCGAAATAACACCCTTTAAGGCCAAGGGCCTTCGCCAAATAGTGTTTGGTTTGCAAAGTATTTTTCTTTTCAAAGTTTTTGAAATATCTAAAATCAATTTCTTTATTTTGATTTTAAGTTAGTATCTTCAAACAAAATAAACATCAGGAGAGACTGTTTATTTAAACGTAAAAATATTAATCTGTTAAATTAGAATAATACGAAAAGGCATGTTAATTTGGAAGAAAAGATGTCATATTACACAGTAAATAATAAGTTTAAAGTTTTATTAACCAGATATTTCTTTTCCGATCAATCGAATATTAACTTTAATAATTATGATTATATTTCTTTCTTGAAAATTTAGATTTGTATCTTAATTAAATTTATATTATTTTTAAAGATTTACTGTTGATTAAAATGCATCAAGTTGAGAGTTCCATTTTTCTTGTTTATTTTCCTTTAATTGTACATTTAAGAAATATATAAGTAAATCTAAGTCACACAAGTCAAATTCGACTTGTACAATTAAAGACAATTCCAAGCAAGTCAAATTTGACTTTCTAATTACGAATGACAATATATTTTATCGAATTCGAATGGCCGATTTTTTATTTATTTAATCTAGCTTTAATTTATAAATAAAATAATTTTGCATGATATTGTAAAAAGTATTGTCAAGGAGTGGGATAAATACAATCAAATATCACCAAATAAATTGACTGATAAAGTAATAAACTAATAACAAAAAAATAAAAAATACGAGTATAAAATGAGCGTGAGAAAGGACAATTTTACACTTTCTTTCTGGAACATTAATCACTCTCCGTTGCTTCTGACTTCTGAGTAAACCATTCAATTTCGCAACCAAAATTTTCCGATCCCGATCGGTCGTCACCGTCGATCCACCGACAATGGCGAAGCCAATCGTCGACGTTGAGTAATTGAAAGAAGTCGCGAAAGCTCGTCGAGATCTCCGCGCTCTTATCTCCAGCAAAAACTGTGCTCCTATCATGCTTCGATATGCGTATACATACACTCTCTCCGTCCTTCATTTTGCTGAATAAAACTACTTCGTTCGTCCAAATAACATGAGGAATTCAGTTTATTCGACTTACCTAATTTCATGTTTAAATTCGTGAATAATTTAAAATAAGTACATGTGGATGAACTACTTAGTATTAAATACGTACTTGTGTTTCTGTGTAGATGGCACGATGCAGGAACATATGATTGTAAGTCGAAGACAGGAGGACCTAATGGTTCAGTCCGAAATGAGGAAGAGTTCACTCATAGTGCTAACTGCTAACAATGGCTTGAAAATGCTCTTCAATTTTGCGGTATTTTTCCTGCTTCACGCTCCAAATAAAACTGACTGACTGACTTAGTTTTCTTTTTTAATTAAACTTTATAAGAAGGTAAAATTTGAGATGCACAAAGGACAACACTATTCTATCAGTCTGGTGTTGTTGCATGACACTTGGGAGCTTGTTCCTCTTCCTTCAGGTAAGTCTTGGTTATAGTTGGGTATATGCGGTCAGAGTCAGCCCGAATGGCCAGGTTGATCGGCCTAAGGCTCGTCTTATTGCAAAAGGATACACTCAGATTTTTGGGCTTGATTATAGTGATACTTTCTCTCCCGTGGCTAAAGTAGCATATGCTTGTCTCTTTTTGTCCATGGCTGCTATATGTCATTGGCCTCTTTATCAGTTAGACATTAAGAATGCTTTTCTCCACGGTGATCTTGAGAAAGAAGTTTATATGGAGCAACCACCTGGTTTTGTTGCTCAGGGGGAGTCTAGTGGTCTTGTATGTCGATTGCGCAGATCACTATATGGTTTGAAACAGTCTCCTCGAGCTTGGTTTGGTAAGTTTAGCACAGTTATTCGGGAGTTTGGCATGACTCATAGTGAAGCTGATCATTTTGTGTTTCATTGGCATTATGCTCCTAATCTGTGTATTTATCTGGTGGTTTATGTTGATGATATTATTATTACTGGCAATGATCAGGTAATCCGAAGCAACATCTCTTTCAGCACTTTCAGACTAAGGATCTGAGCAGATTGAAGTATTTTCTAGGTATTGAGGTTGCTCAGTCTAGCTCAGGTATTGTTATTTCACTACAAAAGTATGCCTTAGACATTCTTAAGGAGACTGGAATGATGGGCTGCAGACCTGTTGACATATGGATCTGAATGCTAAGCTTCTGCCTGGACGGGGGTGCCTCTTAGAGATCCTACGAGATATAGGAGGTTGGTTGGCAAATTGAATTACCTCACAGTGACTAGACGAGACATTTCTTTTCCGGTGAGTGTTGTAAGTCAGTTTATGAATTCTCCCTGTGATAGTCACTGGGATGCAATTGTTCGCATTCTTCGGTATATAAAGTTAGCCCTAGGCAAAGGGTTACTATTCGAGGATTGAGGCCACGAGCAGACTATTGGGTACACAGATGTTGATTGGGCAGGATCACCTTCTGATAGACGTTCTACGTCCGGATACTGTGTTCTAGTAGGAGGTAATTTGGTCTCTTGGAAGAGCAAGAAATAGAATGTAGTTGCTCGATCTAGCGCCGAAACCGAATATCTGGCCATGGCTATGGCAACGTGTGATCTAGTTTGGGTCAAGCAGTTGCTCAAGGAGTTGAAGTTCGGAGAAATCAACAAGAAGGAACTGGTGTGTGATAATCAAGCTGTTCTGCATATTGCGTCAAATCCGGTGTTCCATGAGAGGACTAAACACATTGAGATCGACTGTAACTTTGTCAGAGAAAAGATACTCTCAGGAGATTGTTACAAAGTTTGTAAAGTTGAATCATCAGCTAGCAGATATTTTCACTAACTGGTTCTCGTATTAGTTACATCTATAACAAGCTCAGTACATATGATTTATATGCACCGGCTTGAGGGGGAGTGTTAAGTAGTTAGTCATGTATAGTGTCCCATATCGAGAAGTAGATACCTATGATTATGTAAACTGTATATAAATAGGGTTGTACAACACTTTAATTAATAATAAGATTGTATTCTCACAAAAGGAAATCTTATTGGAGAAGGAGATTGGTTATCCGGCCAGATGCCATCAAGGGTGATTAGATCCTTTTTCCACTTTTATTTTTTTCCTTGAGATATGTTACTGACTTATGTGAAAATGTCTGTTCTCACTCTTGCTCTTTTGTCCACTTTAATTATTTTTTTCACCGGTAACTCACCAGAATCTTTAGGACCTTCTGCATCATTAAGTTTGTGAATGTTCGAAGAGTAGATGCTGGTGGTGCAAGAATTGCTTGTTTTTCAATGTTGTCAAAGCGTGCTTAACGCACGCTTAAGCCCTGAAGCGACAAAACATGTTGAGCGCTTCGCGTCGCTTTGTGGGCGCTTCAGTGTCGCATAAAGGCTCTAAGGCGTAGTTTTTCTTGCCAACGAGTGTAATCCTGAAAAAGCGATACTAAACAATTGATATTTCACTTTATCATAATATTTTTCAATTTCATTGTACATATATCTGTTATTCATGCTTATATTTATTGGTCTTGGACTAAATATACATATTTTTACTTTTTCTCCCGTTGCGCTTTTTTTCATTAAAGCCCACACTTTATTTGCATTTAAAGCACCAACGGACCTTAGAGCTTTTCTGCGCTTTTCGCCTTTCATAACACTAATCTAATTCCCTTTCAAATTTCAGACTTACTGTCTCCTTCGCCAATTTCATTATTATTTTTTCTTGGCGTTTTTCACTGGAAATCACATAAGAAAAAGAGAAAAGATTTCCTAGTCTTTACTGCACTAATTCATGATTTTCTGCGTTGGTTGATTAGCGGGTGCTATTGCCATATAACATCAGGCATTTCTCCCTGGCCCTCCTGTCAGGGTAACTGGCCGAGGAGTTTCCATTAGTGATGAGCAAAATCCTTTTCTGACTGGGGTTGGATGCTCCTTATATCTCGGATATAACTGCTAGCGTCTACTGAACATGAATACATACATGAAAATAGATACGATCAAATCTATGGGCCATGAACAAAAATAGGATATACTCCATGTATTTTGTTAGTCTTTTGTTTGATCGGTTGTATATTTTGTTTGTCGTAACTATGAAAAGACATTAATCCTATTATACCAAAGATACATAGAAGATAGTCCATTAGTGCTTGCGACATCACAAAGAAAATTCAAGTCATTTAACATCAAAGCAAAGATTTCGAAAGCATCTAGAAAATACGCCTACACGTGGTGTTGTTCGCAAAATTTTCTGCCTACCTTTGTCTTGGTCAAGCTGCGGTTTGCTGTCACTTAAATTGCAGCTTTTCGGTTTCTAAATTACATTGCTCTTCTAATTGTTGATTTTGATAAGTAATTAATCTGTTCTCTTCTTATGTAATGCCTGTGTTTTCACAAGATTCAGGTTCTCAGATCTTTCAATTGTTTGTAAAATAACATAACTTAAATTGAGATTCTCTGTTGCATTTGTAATTGATGATAGGTGTACCACGTCTAAAGGAGGTATTTTATCGGATGGGTTCGTCTGACAAGATATAGTGGCGCTATCAAGGGGTCATACACTGGTTAGTTTTTTTATGCTTTCTCCCTCTTGGTGCAGTATGTGCTTACAATTAACATATTTCTCTTGATGTATGTCAAAGAACACACCTAAGTATATATAATCAGTTCACTGGATAATTGTCTGCAGGAAAGCGCTCATCCAGAGAGATCAGGGTTTGATGGTCCAGGGACAAAGGAGCCTCTGAAATTTGACAATTCATACTTTTGTGTAAGATTTATGGCNCTTATTCATATTGTCTGTTATTAATGTCTTTCGGAAACAGCCTCGCTACTCCTGTGGAGTAGGGGTAAGGTCTGCATGCACACTACCCTCCCCAAACCCCACTAGTGGGATTTTACTGTGTCGTTGTTGTATTGTTTGTTATTAACGAGTAGAAATGATCTTTTCAACCAGGGAGCTGCTAAAGGGAGAAAATGGGGACCTGCCGGAACTTCTCACTGACAAAGCTTTACTGGATGATCCTGTGTTCAGACATCATGTTGAGCTGTATGCTAAGGTGAGAAAGTCATTTCGACTGGATGATCAAAGTTTGCGGTTTTAATTGAGCGAACTTGTACCAAATATGAATTTACTATTACTTCAAGAAGTGGCTATTTCGCGCAGCAGGTCGTAGAAATTGGCCAATTGACGACTGGTTTTCTTATCTGAATTTTAGTTTATTAGACATGACAGTAGCTTGGTTTTTTTGAATAGGACATGTTTGAAGAGAAAAAATCATATTAACCACATTATTGGACTTTTCTTTTATTCTTTCAAAATTGTGCAACTAAGAGCTACTACAAAATAGAGCATTGTGGGGTGTGTTCTTCCCTCCGCATGAACTTGTATAAGCAGAAATATATAATGAGTTATAACAAAATCTTGTATAAGCAGAAATATATAATATATAATGCATACCTTACGGTGATTAAGATATGGCAGCAACTAAATGAACTCCCCCTATTGCTTACTTCGTGAAGACTAGAGTGCCATAATTTAGACTGGTTGACTTCATGCCCCTCATTTATTGGTAGAATCCCTCACTATTTTTTATTGTAGAATTTTTTACTAATCCAGCTGAAAATGTCCAAAAAGATAAAGAATAGATTATTAACAAAATAAATGTTTGACCGATGAACAAAATTAGAGTGAAATTTTTTGAAGGATGTGATGGTTTTATCACATAGCTGGTTACTGTTATTGGCTTGGCATGAATGAAACAATGAGTAGCTAAGTGGACAAGAATCAACATTTCAATTTCAAAAGAATTAACACAGCAGCACAGTTAACCGAAATTTCGCTTTAGCCGAAAACCGAAATACAAAAATCGTAAACCGCACCGAAAAACTGAAATACAAAAATCGTAAACCGCACCGAAAAACCGAAAATTAATAATTTTAAAACTGTGCACCGACCGAAAACCGAAATTCACGGTTCGGCCGGTTTTTTCGGTTCGGTCGGTATTATGCCCACCCCTATTTCATACTTGTTCTGCTAGTCTGAAGCAAACATGAGAAACTGACTGATGTTTGGTATTCAGGCATTTGTCGAAGGTCCAACTTATTGGTTGTACATAAATTTCCTTAAAAGCCTCTTTTACATGCTGCTTGCTAGTTTTACCAGTGCTTTATTCTAGCTTTTAAAATAAAGGGAGAGTTGCAGCATCACATTCTTTCCTGTTTGACGAGCCATTTCCTTGCATTGCTTTATTGACAGTTACGAAATGAAACTTAATAAGTGATTAGCGTCCAATTTGGTGAATTTACAGGATGAAGAAGCTTTCTTTAGAGATTATGCCATATTACAGAAGAAACTCTCTGAGCTAGGATTTATCCCATGTTCATCTGGTTCTAAGGTGACAGTGACGGACAGCACTATATTGGTGCAAAGTGCTGTAGGCGTTGTTGTTGCTGCTGCAGTGGTGATACTGAGTCACTTGTACAAGGGCAGCCCTGTGCACAAGACATCCCCTTCACGTAGGATTCAGGGAAGGGTCGCACTCCAAGGGAGGTGACGTAGACAACCTACCTTAATACAAGCATTAGTGACCGCTTTTACGGTTCGAACCTGTGACATGCCGAAAAAGAATGAAGTGAATTCAGCACTACAAATTGCTTTGTTACTCTGTACTAACTACATGAGTTAGTGTACCTCATTTTTGGTTTTCACTATCCTTCTGAAATAACAGCCTGCAGAGCCATCTAATTGAATTAAATAGAAAGATATAGTTTCATAATGGTTTGCTCGACTTGTTTGTTTTGAAGATGACCTTTTTAATCTCAACCTCACATGCAGATTGCATAATAATAGGCTAATTGGAGTTTTATGTGCCATTTATTTTGTTTGTGCATCCCATGTGCGAATTATTGAGTAGCACAAGTTGCTTATTTTACATAACATTGTCGGGGATTGTCGTAGTATTAGTTTTTCCTAAAATAGAGAGACTGAACTTTGCAATTTGTTTGTTTTTCTTGCTCTTTTTTGGTTGGGTCGTACTGCATCTGGCCCTTGTCATTACCCTCTTCTACTCTTCCTTTATCCCCTTTGCCAGGTAAAAGGTGTACTTAGTATCACCTGTGCGTATCCAAATAGGGATGTCAAGTGAACCCGTTTTTTTATTTGAGAAATTAATCGAAATAGTCGTCCACCCAAAAAACCGACAAATGTATATAGCGTATAGTTATAGCTTGTTTGGCCAAGCTTTTCCAATCCTAGAAGCACGTTTTTGAAAGAGAAAAAAAGTGTTTTTTTTTAAAATAAAAAAAGTTAAAGTGTTTGGCCAAGCTTTTGGAAGAAAAGTGCTTTTGAAGAGAAGCAGAAGCAGTTTTGGAGAAGCAGAAAAAAGTAGTTTCTCTCCAAAAGTACCTTTTTTGAAAAGAATTTTTGAGAAAAATACACTGAGAAGCAGTTTTTAAAAGTTTGGTCAAACACTAATTGTTGTTCCGAAGTACTTTTCAAATTAATTAGTCAAATACAAACTGCTTATCACCAAAAGTACTTTTGAGAAATGCACTTTTCAAAATAAGCTGATTTTTGCAGCTCGCCAAACAAATTATTTGTGTATTATTTTTGATTGAGCGCTCAAATGTGTAATTTTCCCTTTTATTTTCAATTAAAAATTGCACGGGGCGCCCTAGTTGGTCGTCCCTATTTAACCTATACCTTTTTTTTTTTTTAAAGTTTTAACTTGTACCCACTTTTTAAACAACTTCAGCCCCTTTTCTCATCCTCCTTCGTTTTCTTCTTCTTCTTCTTCTTCTTCTTCTTCTTCTTCTTCTTCTTCTTCTTCTTCTTCTTCTGTTGCTGCTGTTGGTGCTGTTATGAAACTTCAGTTCATGGGATGATTGCCATAAGTATGTTTATCAGATTATTTAAAAATAAATTATAAATAATTACGTAAGTTAGTAGACAATAATTTGTGAATATTTCCGCGTAATTCTGTTCTTTTCACGTTTATTTTTTCCAAATTTTATGATTTAGATACTGTTGGCAATCAGATTATTTTATAGTAGTAATACACTATGAAAGAATAAGGTGATTATTTATCTAGTATGTTAGAAAGCTTTTTCAAAAACTTCAGCTTATATAGTGCGAAGTTTTTACAGCATCTTCTGCTGAAGTTTTTGAAAAAGCTTTATGACAAAACTAATGAACCCAGGACAAAAAAACTTCAGCTTATATAGTGTTGAAATTTTTACAAATGAACTAAATAGCTTCAGCATCTTCGGCTGAAGTTTATGAAAAAGTTTATCCAGGACAAAAAAATTTCAGCTTATTTAGTGCTGAAGTTTTTACAAATGAACTAAATAACTTCAGCATCTTCTGCTGAAGTTTTTGAAAAAGCTTATCCAGGACAAAAAAAATTCAGTTTATTTAGTGCTGAAGTATTTACAAATGAACTAAATAACTTCAGCATCTTCTGCTGAAGTTTTTAAAAAAGCTTTATGACAAAACTAATGAATCCAGGACAAAAAAAAACTTCAGCTTATTTAGTGCTGAAGTTTTTACAAATGAGCTAAATAATTTCAGTATCTTATGCTGAAATTTTTGGAAAAGCTTTTCCAGGACAAAAAAACTCCAGCGTATTGCCTTTGCTACTTCAGGCCCGTCTACTAGAATGCTGAAGTTTTGCGTGATTGCATTTGCTACTTCAGCCCCGTATGTTGAAGTTACGCGAAAAAGTGGGTAAGCTTGCAATTTTTTGTTACAAAGCGGACACAAATTAAAACGTGACCCAAAAAGCAGGTATATATACAAATACCTCTATTTTCAATGAAGAGCTTCAAAGGGTTGATTGAGCTCTCAGGGCGCTTGGTACGCTCTTCTGGATCTCATACATTTTCTTGCTTTAAGTTGCCGTAAGCGACATGGTTAAAAACAAATCTCATTTAGGTAACATACCAAAAGTAGAAAAAATATTAAAAAGGAAAAAGAAGAAAGAGACCCCATTTAATTATATGAGGTGGGAGGTTGTCTACGGTAAAACAAAAATTGACAAGTAATGAAATTCCAGGAAGCAACTATTGAAACTTTATCTAGGGGAGATATGGGTAACAATCCATTGGTGTTGCTACAATCTTTTAATATCACTTAGGTGTATGGGTTAAGTTCAACCAAAATGCTCTTTCCCTCTTCATTTCCGTTCTTAGATTCACGGGTCCACTTTCACTCCAAAAAGTAAATTTCAACCCAAAAAAATAAAAAAAGGAAGTTCCATTTATGAAGAGATAACCAGTGGCAAACCCATAATTTAGATGCGGTTGGTTTTGATTTTACAGTATGTTTTGAATTGTTTATCTAATTCTAGAATTTTTTTATTTCATAGGGAGACTGGAGAGGGGGGAAAGGAAAGGAGAATAGTGGGAATCAAACTCACATTTAGTGTATGGTCAACTTTTAGCAGCACGGGTCGTTTGGTTGGAATATGATTTATACCGGTATAAGTTATGTCGGTATAATTTATATTTGGATAAATTATGCTGGGATTAATTATGCTGGAATTGTTATTTATTCATTGTTTGGTTATGTTGTATTAAGAATGACAATTGCATAATTTTAAGAACAGGTATAAGTTATACCGGTGTTAATTACCCCACCTTCTATAAGGTATAAGTTATCCAAATGTTAAAATTAATACCGAAATAACGTATACCTGGTTTACTAACCAAACAGAATATTAATGTGGTATTAAATTTTTATACCACCCTTATACCTTATTATATCTCATACCAAACGATCCCTTACACTGTAAGTCCTGATGGTAACTTATTGGTAAAATACATAGGTTACCCTTGAACGATGGACCAAATTTCTATTACACACTTTTTGAGCACCAAAATTATCTTACACACTCAACCTTTCCAAAATGTATCTGACCTGCTTTGCTATGTGGATTTTGCGTGCTTAACATAAAAAGATGAGCGCGTAAAATTGTAAATATTTTGTCTGAATTCATATTTTAATGCCACGTGTCATATTAATAATATTTTTCTTATTTTTCATTTTTATCAAATGAAAAAAGCTGTCAAGCTTCTCTTTTGTCTCAAGTCCTTCCCAAACTACTTGGACCCCACC